TTTATTCCTGTTCCCCCAAAGTAGTCATCTAACAGAGTGTGGAAATGGCCAGACAATATCTGTAATATCACATGCGGGTGAGGTATTGCAGAGAATTATGAAAAACCATCTGGAATACTGTATTCATCGAGAACTGCCAGAAATTCAGGCTGGATTCAGAAGAGGCCATGGCACAGTGGATATTATTGCTGATGTCAGGTGGCTCTTGGCTGAAAGCAGAGAATGCCATACACTGTCCATCTGTAATTTATTGACTGTGCAGAGCTTGTGTGGACCATAACTGTGGCTTAAATTGAGAAGAATGGGAGTCCTGGGACACTTCATTGTGCTCATGCAAAACCCGTACTTAGGGAACTCTGGTGGCCTGGTGGCAGGAAGCTGCACTGCAATCCCAGAGGTGAGAAGTTTGAATCCACCAGATGCTCTGCTGGAGAAGGAGGGGCAATCTCCTACTGTACCAGTCAGTTCCGATTTGACAGTACACACTCAAAAAACAATAAAATTAAAAAACAACAAACCCGTACTTAGACCAAGAAGCTATTGTCAGGGAGCTCTGGTGGCCTGGTGACAAGAATCTGTGCTACAATCCCAAAGGTATGCGATTCAAATCTACCAGATGCTCTGCTGGAGAAGGAGGGACAATCTCCTCCTGTACCGGTCAGATCTGATTCAACGGTACACACAAAGTAATAAATAATAATAATTTTTTTAAAAAAGGGAAAAAAGAAGCTATTGTCTGAACAGAACAAGGGAATACTGCATGGTTTAAAATCAGGAAAGGTGTGTGTCAGAGCTGTATCCTTTCTCCATACCTGTTCAATCTGTAGGCTGAGCAAATCATTTGAGACACTGAACTATATGAAAAAGAATGACATTGGGATTAGAGGAAAACCTGCGTTACTCAGATGACACAACCGTGCTTGCTGAAAGTGAAGAGGACTTGACGCACTTGCTTCTAACGAGCACAGACTACATACAGCCTTTAGTATGATTTTCATCTCAACATCAAGAAAATAAAAATCTCTCCCCCTGGAGTGATAAGCAAAATTATAACAAATGGAGAAAAAGATTGAAGTTGTCAACAATTTCATTCTGCTTAGATGTTCAGTCAACACTCATGGTAACTTACAGTGGTCAAGAAAGCAAAACATGTATTGTGTTGGGAAAATCTGTTGTCTTGAATCTCTCCAAAGTGCTAAAAACCAAGGACGTTGGTTTAGAGACCGTGGTGCGCCTGACCCCAGCATGATCTTTTCCGTTCCTTCATATGCACCTCGAAACTGGACATAGAATAAGGATGACAGAAGAATTGATGACTTTGACTTGTGGTCTGGAGGGACCAGTATTTGAACAGATACCATCATGCCGTGAAAGGTGAGGGGTCCCGGAAGGAGAGAAGGACTCTCGACACTGACCGCGACAGTGGCCTTGAGCTCGTGGGAAGCGGGAGGCACGGCAGAGGGCAGCGTTCAGCTAACACCCACCCTCAGTGGCTCCTCACAGCAGCAGAGGGTGGTGCTGGCCAGTGGTTCAGGTCTGAAGGGATCTCATGCCGGCCTTGCGAGTTCTGCCCAGGCCGGGCCGCGGCTCCTGAGCCGGGAGTGTCTGGAATTCTGGTCATGGCGGGGCTTTTTTGAGTCGTCTGCAAGAGTGGTTCTGGATGGGAAGCCGAAGCAGACAAGACTGCCAGAAGGTGGGCGGAACAGGAAGTGGCTGCCCCGCGAGCCAGCGCTGGCCTGAGCCTTCAAAGGAGAAGTGCAAAGAGCAGGAAGCCCTATGGCTGGGTGGAGGCTGGAACCTTCCACCCCAAGGGCAGAAGGAAGCTGGCCCTCCCACACTGCCCTCCGCCTGCCCCTCTGGGGTACCCTGCCCCCCTTGGCAGACTAGTGAGGGCTCCCCTTAGACAGTTATCGTGTGTCAGAGTCAGAGCCAACCCGTGGCTGACTCTGCAGCGGGTTTTCAGAGGCCGTAAATCGCCTGCGAGCAAATTGCCCTCCTTTTTCCATGGAGCAGCCGGTGGATTCAAACTACTTGTCTTTGGGTTGTAGCTCAGCTTCTTACCACTAGGCCATCAGAGCACCCTCAGACAAAGCAAGGGCACAAGCCTCTTGAGGGCCAGTCAGTACTGTTCACAGCGCTCAGCCCGGGCTCTCCTCCGCCCTGATTCCCATCAACTCACCCCCCATGTGTCCTTCCAGGTGGAGTAGGAGTGAGGCTTAGGGACAGTGAACAGGGTGACAGCACCTTCTTTGAAGGGAGCCTTTCCAGGTGAGGGCAGGTGCCCTCCCGTCAGCCCACACTCTGAGTGGACTGAGGCCAGCTGACGCCCCTGAGCCATCCTCGGGGTCTGCACTGCTGTAGTCCACTGCTGCAGCCCACTGCTGCCGTCACTGCACGTCTCTCTGAGGGTCTCCCCCTTCTGCTGCCGTCACCATGCACGTCTAAGGGTCTCCCCCCTTCTGCTGCCGTCACCGTGTATGTCTAAGGGTCGCTGCTTCTGCTGCCGTCACTGCTTGTCTAAGTTCTCCCCAGTTCTGCCGTCAGTGCACGTCTTCATGAGGGTCTCCCCCCTTCTGCTGCTGTCACCGTGCCTTCTCTCTAAGGGTCTCCCCCATCCTGCTGCCGTCACTGTGCACGTTTAAGGGTCACACCCCCGCCCCCCCCCGATGTGTGATGTCTGGCTCCAGGAACAGGCCACTGACACAGGCTTCAAATGACATTGTTGGGTGTGAGTAGTTGCTGTCTGGTCAGTTCTGGTCCTGGTGACCCTGATGTGCAGAGAACTGTCTTGCAGGGTTTTCAAGGCTGCGGCCTTTCTGAAGCAGACGACCAAGCATTTCCCGGTGCCTCCGGGTGGGTTCAGGCTGCCCCCTTTGGTTAGCAGCTGAGGACTTAACACTCAGGCCACCCAAGGACTCAGAAAAAATGGAGCATCTCTGATGGTCACTGCCTGCTCTCCTGGACCGCTGTCCAGCCTGGACCGCTGTCCCACCTGGACCACTGTCCAAGGTACTGTCCAAGATCATTCCCTTCCCACCTACAGGCTAGAAGTCCAAGATCAAGGTGGCCCTGTCTCCTGGAGGCTCCCGCAGGGAGGCCCTGTCCCAGGTCCTGGCCCCCTGCCGTTCATGACGTGACCTCTGCTGTCACAGGACCATCTCCTGGCTCTGTTTCCCACAAGGACGTCATCTATTGTAAGGCCCTCTGGACTGTCCAGGATGATTGGGCCTTAACTAAATGACAGCTGGGGAGACTTTTTCCCAGAGGGGGTCACCCTGGTTCTGAGGCCCAGGATACGGGACCCCCTGCTGCACTGACTGCCTGCAGCGCACACTCTGACCCCTTGTCAGTCAGGGCCTGTGAAGAGTTGGCTGGCAGCGGCCAAGGAGGGGGGCTGCTTGTCTGTTCCCTCCCGGTCATCAGTACCTCCTGTGGACGTGTCACTGTGTGGCTGGGGTCACCTAGGAGCTGACTGACTGCCAACCGCTCAGCGATGTTGAGACATTTTTAATTCTTAGATTAATAGCAAAAATTCCTGCTCCTGTCGGGTCGATTTTCACACACAGTAACCCTGCATCAGGTTCCCGAGGCTCTAAGTATTTATGGGGCTGAGGCGGGTGTTGGGGGGGAGTCTGCCCATCTTCTTCCCAGCCGGCCTTTCTGTTAGCAGTCCAGCACCTGATGCCCTGCACCACCAGGGCCACTGTCACTGTCCTTCTGTAAGCAGTCCAACACCTCATGCCATGCGCCACCAGGGCCACTGTCACTGTCCTTCTGTAAGCAGTC